GCTTTACCAATCTTTATTGTGTTATTGAGTCCCTTGAGTATATATATAGAGGTTGAAACGTCAGATCTGGACTGTAGGAGGTCTTGTGAACCTAAAGACACAAGCTTTATGGAGGTAGAGGCAAGCCTATGAGCTCTAAACCCTTGTCGGAGCTTGTATTAGCGTTATGGAGCAAATATGCCATGCATGAACGTAAAGATCGAAGCTTTACGTGACATTCGAGCCTTCGGAAACTAGAACTACAGTTTAGAGTGGTAAATTTTCCTTAAAACATCTGAATGAGAATACTGACTCAATGGACTCGTTGAGTCAACGAGCTGACTCGACGATTCGACTAGGTTTTTCCTCGATTATTCCGGACATGGATAACTCGGCGAGTTAATGAGACAACTCGACGAGTTAAGTTGGGTTTCTTGTCACTTCTGATGGAACAATGGGGACTCGATGAGTCACATAGATGCACTCGGTGAGTCAGGTCAACATGGACTGTTGACTCGAGTGTTGACTTATGTTGACTTTAGGGTTTGGTCAAGGCAGGGATTGTGGGGACCATAGAGGGGTAAAATGGTCTTTTACCAATTCCAAGAGTTTTAGAGAGGGAATAACCTGGTTTACTTAAAGTCATGATTTAAATGTTAATTAGAGATATGTTAGGTCAAAATATGGTTTATACTTTGTTTTTCTGGGCAATTATATTTTTGTGTAATAATTGTAGAGTTTTCGGCCTAGTTTACGGTTGATTTTATGGCCGTAAACACCTTACGGTCGTAAACCCATTTACGGCCCATGTCCACCAAGCCCATATTCTCCAAGTATAAATATAGGTGTTAGGGTGAGGAGTACAGATTGATGAACCCTAAAGAGTTTACAGCCAGAGAGACAGAAGCTTTTATGTGTGTGTGAATCTTTTGTATCCGGATCTTCATTCATATCAATACATACAAAGATTCATATTATTCTTCTTCTCCTTCTCTTCTATTTGATCTGAAATCATTCGTTTGATTGGGATTCCGCACCATCAAACGGATCTGACTGATACACGGGTAAATTAGAGACTTACAACCGTGGTTTAACTTTTCCTCGATGTGCGGATTCTATCCTTAATTCCGGTTGGATGGGGCGACTGGTAAATTCCGATAAATTAGGTCTGTAGAATATCATTTTCTTTCTTTCCGTCTGTTAGTCATATGTTGCACCCTTTGCGTGATTGGAAGAGATCCGGCCTGGATTGAAACATATGCAACTCTATTTCTCTGTAGGCTATATATAAATGTGTGAAATACTTCTTATCTGTTAGCCATATGTTGTCTCCTTTGCATGACTTCAAATCCGACCTGGTACACAACATATGCAACATTCTGCTTCTCAACCCCTCTAAAGTGATAAGTTATAGAATTATGAATCTATCTTCTCTCTGAATGATTGTCTGCTCACCCGGTGTAAGGAGTACTCTGAAAGTTCTTGATGGCTGGGGCATATCAGGAAACGGGAAACACGTTCCAGTACACTTAAAATTGAACACATACAGATTATCTATAGATCTCGCTGCTCAATTTAGGTGGACAACAATATCCCTGGTCGTCGTCAGATGAATGGACCTTAAGATATAGTATCTAAGAAATTAGGATCAGATATAAATTTTAGGTTTTTAAGTTCATCATGTCTTGTAACAAATAGTATGTCCTAAATCTATCACAAATTTTTCGTGTTTAAGTGGACAACAATACCGACGATCGACCAGACAAAGATGTGAATATGGAAGGTACCGACAAGTGGATAAAGGTTGTCTAAAAACTTTGATCCCAAATCATTCTTATAGTTAGATATCATTTTATTTTTGTTAAACTTGTCATAGTTTCTTCTAATTTAAATATTATGGGAGAATTAAAAGTTAAAAAAAAAAATTAATTACACAAATTAAAAAAAATCAAAGAAAAATCAGAAAAATTAAAAATCGAAAAAATAGTGTTATTTCTGTTTTATTTCCTGTTCAGAAAAATAAAAAAAATCCAAAAATATTTTTGTTTCTGTTTTATTTTGTGTGCTAAGTTTTCTTTTAGTTTTATTTTGTCTTGAAAAGCGATTTCAGGTATAGATAAGACTCATGGAGTTTGTGTTGAAGATTTCTGAGCCAAAGCCTCGTCCGTGAGCATCGAAGAGTTCACATTCGAAGGAGCAAGAAATGAAGATTATTCTTTCAACATTCAATCCTTCAACCCCAGAAGCAAGGTGAAGCTGCAATTGAAGATTATGTGATGGATTGAATTGAAGCCTCCTCAATCAGTCTGCTGCTATCTTTGTACCTGCTGAAGTGATCCAGAAGATTTGTCCTCTCTAATGTTCTCTCTGAAGATTCTCAAGCTGAAAGCACTATCTTTCAAGAATCAGTACGTAAAACCTCCTCACCCAATGTGCGTTCAATGCCAAATTCTGAAGAAATGCCTAACTGCTCAAGATGAAGTCATTCATTGAAGATCCATATGTTCATCCTGATGCTGTGAAGAAATTGAAGATAAACGCTAAAGCCAAGCTCTCATTGAAGATTGACAAGAAGAGCTAGCTACCTTTTAGGAGGAGCTTGTTGGGTCAATTAAGAAAAGAAAGCTATAAACCAAGGGGGAGATTGTTAGGTCAAAATATGGTTTATACTTTGCTTTTCTGGGAAATTATATTTTTGTGTAATAATTGTAGAGTTTTCGGCCTAGTTTACGGCTGATTTTATGGCCGTAAACACCTTACGGTCGTAAACCCATTTACGGACCATGTCCACCAAGCCCATATTCTCCAAGTATAAATATAGGTGTTAGGGTGAGGAGTACAGATTGATGAACCCTAAAGAGTTTACGGCCAGAGAGGAGAGAAAGGGGAGCTTTATGTGTGTGTGAATCTTTTGTATCCGGATCTTCATTCATATTAATACATACAAAGATTCCTATTATTCTTCTTCTTCTCTTCTATTTGATCTGAAATCATCCGTTTGATTGGGATTCCGCACCATCAAACGGATTCGACTGATACATGGGCAGATTAGGGACTTACAAGATAATTATCTTATGTGTTAGGTCGAGGCTAGTTCGAGATCCGTGTACAAGATTATTTACTTGCTTGCTTACGAGGTGAGTCATCTCACTATACTTACCTAGAGTGGTAACCTTTTTTTGTGACCGGAGAGTCTTATGTGGTTATCTTGAGTATTGTGATATCCTGCATTATGTCTTTGTGATTTATGATGTGCTTTACTAAGTTAGGATCGGAGGGTCCACCTGAGTTGTGGGACCGGAAGGTTTCACTAAGACATATCGATCAGAGGATCTTATTTGAGATATAGCCATGAGTTGCTAATGAGTTATGTGTGGTATTTTGGAGAAATCACCAAGCTTCGTGCTTACCGTGTTATGTGTTATGTGTTTCAGGTACTTCTCAGGATCATGGAAAGGCGACTGCATGATTGTACACACGAGGCGGAGTATGATTTGGGGATCCTGGATTGTGTTTAAATAACTTATGAACATGTGTTTTTGACAAATGTTATTTTGGAGTTTTGTGAACTATGATTTTGAGAATTTTGTGACTATTGAAAAATGAAAATTTTGGTTGAAAATTTACAGTGTTACATTTCCATTCTTCACCAGGCTTCAAAGCGAGTTTTCATTCTTCACCAAACTTCTTTTTCTTTACTTGATGTTATTTTTCAGAATTTATAGCTTCATAAGAATTTATAACCTTGCATTAACAATGTCTGTACACTCAAAGAACAGTTTAAAACAAGGCTAAAATTCTGCATAATTTGTAGCTTGGAAAACATGATATCTTCATCTTAATCAAACATAACCACCAAATAGAAAAACTCCTTTGTAGACACATAAAAATAGTTTGCCAATATTTCAGATAATTGATCACTAAGTAATAACATTATAGTACAAAAATAATAACGTTGATAGAGATATTTGGTGTACTCAGTAATTACATCAAACATTTGGTAGGCGTGATGAATTCTCATAGATTACAACATTTCATATCAAAATAAAGTTTAGTTAAACTTATGTTTAAAACGAATATGAAAATTCCAAAATAAAATGATTACTTACATATATGTGTGGGTTCGTCAATTGAGGAAGACAATAACAACTATTGAATTGCAGTTGCTGACATACCTGATGCCCAACCAGGATAAAAAGAACTAAATAATAAAGTAAGAGTAAAATCAATTGAATCAAATGCTTTTATGTAATCATTCCCTGTTAAATGATTCCCAGCAAGATCCAAGAAAGTCTATACACGTGAAAACTATAATTTAACCTGAACAACAAAATTTTGATTCACTGTGTCTTTATTCTTTTGAAAACGGAAATGAAATCCTATAAATTTCAATGCCCATTCTGTGAACTTCTTTTGAAAACGGAAATGAATCCTATAAATTTCAATGCCCATTCCGTGAACTTCTGGACTTTACACTCTTGTAAATGTTTATGTAGCCTACAAAATGAAAAATAAGGTTCAGGGTATTATCAATTAAATAACAGAAAAGATAAAGGGGAAGGTGAAGGGCAAGGGTAAAGAACATTATTGGTTTGCTTTTCCTGATGAATCACATTAATCTGTAAAAAACACTATGAAAAACACGAATTAGAATTTAGAACATATTACGCGAATGGTCCTTTAGATTTTGGATTTTTCCCTTTTGTAGTCCCAACGATACTTTTTTCCCTCAAATAGTACCTATGGACCATAAGTTGCACGCCTTTGGTCCCCGAGTTGGATGTCCGTCCATTCCAATGTTAAGCTGCTCCATTTGACTTGCATATGAGGGTATTTATATCATTTTAGCCTAAAGGACCTCTTCTAAACATATTAATTAATAGTTATATCCATTAAGGTGGCGTGGTTTAGTTTCATACATTGACTTTACACTCTATCTCTTTCCCCAAGAAAACCTTTTGATCATCCCATCTTCTTCAATTGTGAGTTCTTATCGTCGTCGGCCGTTACAGTTCAACTGAATGAAGGGTGTATCGAGGAAAATGGTGCTCACATTGTGGTCTTTACGTCCACGCTACACCCAACCACCTGACCTATGTAATGAATATAGTAAGCACGGAACTTGTAATGTTAGGTTTTCATAAAATGTAATTTTTCCTTCTCCATCATTAACATTTTATTGTTCTTGAATGTTCACAGGTTCTATTTCAATCTTTTGCACATTCAAGATAAATCATGTAGGTTCGTTTACAAATACGGTATATGCAAGGTCATACATAGATGGGCTTGTTGATCATTTTGATTTTGTGGACATGGATGTGTTTTCAGTCCACGAGTTAGATGATATGATGGCAGTTTTAGGGTACAATGATGGAGTTATAATGTTTTACCATTTCATGATCCCAGAGACAGACTTGGATAGTGGATTGTTACCCCTTGGCACCAATCAGGAAGTCATTTAGCTGGCAAGGTATTTCCTTAATCATAAGGAAATTAATTTGTACATCGAGCATGGAAATACTAGAGTAGTCCATTACTTTAAGTCCCTAGTGAAGGTTCGTATTGAGGAAGTTGAAGGGAATGATTCTCCTGAACTGAATAGGGTTAAAATGAAAAGGAAATCAATTGGTTCATGTAGTAAAAAGTTGGATTTGAATGAGTCCACTAATTTGTCAAAGTTAATTGTACCCTATGAACCTGTAATCAACAAAAAACACTCAGTTGATCGAGAGAGTGATCTCTTTAAGGGGTACAGTTTGAGGATAACCATGGTAAAAAAAAATGTTGACACAGGAGATGAGCACCAACCAAAAGGGAATGTTGATCTAGTGGATGATTATGAGGTAATGGGGGATGTGGATGCAGAATATGGTGGGGGGGGAAATCTACATGATGTTGAGTTTTTTGAGGATGAATACAGTGGTAGTAAGGAAAGTGTTAGTGACGGTCCTTGGAATAAGAGTAGTAGGAGTGAGGGTAATATGACAAATGATGAGAGTGAGGATAAAGACTTCTTTTTGGATTTAGAAAATATTGTAGATGATGTGGATGTTGATATGAAAGAATTTCATATACATGTTGATGAAGATGTTGAGTAGGTTCAAAAAACCACCAAAGAAACAAGTGGTAGTGGTGTTGACTTTACTGAAGGTGAAGATTTGGAGGTCATAGACCCGGAATCGTTTGAGTCACCTATTGTAGATGAAGATAACAGCAGAGAGAGGATGTTGAGAGACATAAGAAAGGAAAAAAGTTGTTCTGAGGGTTTAGTTCATCAAAAGGCTTTCACATTAGGACAGAAGTTCAAAACAAAGAAAGATGTGAAAGAATATATAAACAAACATGCAGTAGAAACCAAAAGGGGTTCACATTTTGAAAAAAATGACAAAACAAGGATTAGGGATATGTGTAGAGGAGTGGTCTCAGATATGACATCTGAATGGAAAAATACAAGGTGGTAGGGACAAACCTATCATTTATTGTTTGGAGTATATTAGAGAGTATTTGATGAAGAGAATTTGCAATGGCCAAAGAGAGATTGATAGGTGTCATGGTCCTCTCACATCAACTGCCACTAGTCTTCTTGATCAAATGAAAAGACAAGCACAAAAGCACAGGTGTATTTTCAATGGGGTTAAAACTCAAGTCACTACTCATTAGGGTGATCAGTTTATTGTGAATTTGGATGAAAAAACATGCACATGTAGACATTGGGAAATTGCAAGCATGTTATGCTCACATGCAATAAGTGCAATATGGGACAAGATTAAACATGGAGCAAAGAATGTTCCTGAGTTGGAGCATTGGGTCCACCCATGCTACTGGCTAGTTACATGGGCAAAAGTGTACAAAAACAAAATTGAACCTATAAATGGTAGATTGATGTGGCCCAAATCACAATGCTCAACCAAGTTGCTTCCACCTAAACATGTTGTTCAGGTATGTCTTCATATATCAATATAATTGCAGTTTTTTTAAGAACAACAATTTAATCTTATGTACATTTGTAGGTGGGTGGACCAAAGAAGAAAAGGAAGAGGGCATATGATGAACCTCCTACACAGGGGCATAAACTATCCAAGAGGTGGACCACTATCACATGTAGAAAGTGCAACAACAAAGGGCATAATTCAAGAACTTGTAAAGGGCAAGGTGGCCCTATTGACAAAAGAACTGAAGAAACAGGAGGATAGAAGTTAGGATGGGGGTGTTGTTGAGAACCATTAGGTCTTTTGATGTAATTTGCATTTTACTTTTACGGTTATGTTAACACCTATGTTTATGTACCAAACAATACTTACTTTGGGCTCCTTATTTTGTATGGTCATGCATGTTGACCTTGAATCATTGTACACATAAGTAAATTATGAAACAATCTCAACTGTTGTTGTGATATACAATAGCATTTTTGTTATATTCTTGTTCTTGTCAACTAGTATTTGTGATATTCAAAGTGTATGGTCATGCATGTTGAATTGGTGTTCTTGTCAATAATATTTGATTGCACAAAGCCATGACACAATAACCTTGTTCTGAAATTAAACCATTTGATTACAAAATGACTATAACATTAAGACAAAATTAACCATAACATAATTTACTGCTGTCAAACTCAAAAAAGACACAAACATTACATAAACCATGCTACAATTTACCTGTCTTCAGACTCAAAATAAGACCACTAGTACATTAACCCTATGACTATGACACTACTTCTTGCATTCAGACACTACTTCAAGTAATGAATTGCAAAAAGACCCCAACTGAAGAGAATGAATAACTTATACATCCTAGCTTGCAGTGTAGCTTGTTGAAGAGATTCTTGGAGCTTGTTCATAGACCTGATTAACCCAGGCATCACTTCCACCGATCTAGGGCACATCGGCTCATCAAACCACCCAATCCAACCACACCTTCTCTCATTACGAAGACAAGACCAAAATCGCCTTCTAGGGTTGAGATCTGACCAGGAAGTGACGATGGCTAGATCACGATTTCCACAAGCACATATCGGCATTTTCCACAGCTTTCTTTCTCTAACAGTAGGAGTGATCGATTGAATTAGGAGGAATAACAAGAAGAAGTAATATAAGCGTTAATTTATATGTTCAGAAAACGTCCTTTAGGCTAAAATGACATAAATACCCTCATGTGCAAGTCACATGGGGGCAACTTAACGTTGGAATGGACGGACATCCAACTCGGGGACCAAACGTGTGCAACTTATGATCCATAGGTACTATTTTAGGGGAAAAGTATTGTAGGGACTACATTAGGGAAAAATCCAAAACCTAAAGGAACATTCGCGTAATTTGTTCTAGAATTTAAAATTACATTTTTGATACCCTTCAATCAAGTAGATAGGACATTGGATCCTCTTTATATGGATTCTAATAGGAGAGAAAGAGAGAAATCCCTAAATATTAAGGATATATCGGGGAGAGAATAACCCTAAATTTTGAGGATATATCGGGGAGAGAATATAGAGAAACATATGCAAATTTGACCCTAATTAAAGAGGTACGAACTTCGTTTCTTCATCTATAGATCCGATCATGGAGAGATTTGTAGAAGAAAGAGTCAAGAAGGGAGAACAGTACCTGTGGAGGCATGACCGGTGTGGAGGATAAATACATGGGCCGATTACCACCACCAAAATCATCATCGCCATCGACGTGAGATAAAGCCTGCCATAGTCAAATGATTTCATTGACAAGATCTTGGCAGCCGGTGAATATGAGAGGCGAATATGACGCTCACTCTAGTCTCTGTTATTCGATTAAGAATTCTTGGCGTTGGAGAGATACGGGAAGGCAGCAACAACGCTAACTCCAGTGAAGGCTGCTATGACACTCACTCCGATCTCTGGCAATGGCGTTCACTGTAGCGACGATAAATGAATGTTCTTCTTCATAGACTTTTTGATGGCTAGGTCGGATGAGACAAAGAAGATGTTCATCAAATATATGAGGAGGTATGGTTAACCAATGATTTTTGAAAATGAAAATGAGAAAGCAGAATAAGACATGAGATTGTTAAGCGTTTAAGAGATATTTGAGATTTATTATGTTAAAAGTCAATATAATTAGCATGATTATAGAAAGTATTTGAGAAAGTTATTTATCAAATTACTTAAATACCTTGTTTATTTAATTAATTAATATTATTTGTTTTAAATTTTGATTGGTACACAATCAATCCTGTATACATACACTATTTAGTTAGAATACTTGAACCTATATATATATATATATATATATATATATATATATATATATATATATATATATATATATATATATATTATATATATATATATATATATATATATATATATCATGTATTAAACGGGGTTGTGATTCTTTTTTTCCCTATTTTCCCTCTGTTTTGCCCTATTTACACAATCCTTTCCAGTTCTTCTTTTCCTTTGTTTCTCACAATTCAGTTGTGCTTAAAATTGACAAAAGATCACAGCAATACACAGTGTTGTTATGATTATTTTTTTCCCAACCCAACACTCTCTTCATCTCTGAATAATCCAAATTTAAGAAAAGCCTTGCAAGACGTACCCAATACAATGAGACCTCTGTTTGTTTGCCAGTATTACTCCTAGCCGTGCAAGAGTCAGAAGTATAAAATCTACGAGGGAACTTCCTTATGTCAGTTAGCTCTTACATCATCTATGTATCTTTGATAATTGGTATGAAGTTTACTCTTACATAATCCGGATCACCTAGGCGAGGATGGAAAGTCCAAACACATAACCTGCATATAACTTTTGGTAATTGTGTTAGATTCGATCTCAGTAGCCCATTCATATGTGACATTGCATCTAAACATTGTTTAGAGGGCCTCAAGTCGTCTTCCTTATTTTCCACCACAGGGTTTGAGTGATCATCTCAAATTAGATTGCAACACTCAAAACCAACATATCACAATATCCTAAAGATATTACAGCATACACATGGATGAAAACAATGAGAAGAGTGCTAAAATGCCTATCACACATCTAAGAGATTAGAATTCATACAATCAAGGGGAAAGTACCAAATATTTGCAGCAAAGAACTTACCTGCATGGGAAAGTAAAATATGTTTGTAGTTGAGAGAGCATGTCTTTTTCATTTTTATCAACATATCTCCTTTTATATGACCAATCATCCCATGGCTCCAGTTTATCAACAAAGATATGTATATAGTGACCAAGAAAGATTTTATATTCTTCACATGTCTTTTCACATTGCACCCACTTGATTTCTCCAAAATCAAAACCATAGAGCTTTTCGCAAGCATGGATGCGGAAGATTCTTGGTTTAAAGTAACATCAATTTAAATTGACTCCGCATTGAATGTCAATTCACATAAATCATAAATCTCGCATGTCACTTAAAATAACAGGTGTTGAAGCCTGATTGTGGGTTTCCCTTTAAAGCATGTAAATCAACATTAAAATGTGCCATAATTTGTGAATGTAAAATGATTTATGCTTGTAGATGCCAAATACACAAAGACCACTTAATGTAATTTTAAACTTTGAGATTGTCAAAAAGAGTATTGTATTAATTAGATCCGGGTAACCACATAAATCAACATAATGTCAAGAAAGTGATAGAAGCAAAGTTGTCTATCAATGTAGAAGAAAGTAAATTACATTAGACCTACGACTAGCCTTTTCACGTCATACCAAAAGAGACCATCAAATGGTCCTTCATAACTACATCTGCCAAGGTGCTACTTATAATGGAGTAGTCACATATTTGAAAGCAAAGGACACAAAATCATATAAAAGGGAAATTTAATTGGTAATTGTATTATTAAAAGCAAAGGTTGAGTGACAACCAAACTCTCTGAACAATAAACTGAAAATCCAAATCCATTTAATGGTGCTTCTCAACACCTTGAAAATGCTAAAACATATGCAAATATAAAAACCAAGACAAGAGTGCATCAAAGTCATCGTTAATCTTAGAGATTAACATTCATGCAATCACAGGGGAAGTACCACAGCTGACACCCACCTTTTCGACTTTTATCAATGGTGTCATAGAAGTAAGCATATCTCATGTATTGTAACTCATGATCAACCCACAACTCTGGTTTAATAATAGCAGAATACTTCAATTCGTTAATAAAGAACGCACATTCTCCTAATGTGTTTTCTGATGACATCCACTTCATTTCCTCAAAATCTAGTTTGCAAACCTTGTATGAACCTCCTAATTCGCGATACAACACACAAAGGTTTTCATCCAAACTTACAAACTCTGGACATAACACGACTACCTTTGGAAAATTCTTGGTTTGGAGTAACGTCAATTTGGGCTCTGGATTGAGTCTCATTTCACATAAACGACAACCCACGTTTAAGGTATATATCTTCCCCTTGAAAGCAACTAAATCAAAGAAGGGAAAAGTGGATGAGACATGATTCCATGCTCCAGTACCCGCTATAGAAAACCAAACTTGATAGGTGAATCTACGTAACATCACAAAGGCCCACCCAGATACTAAAGGTGAAAAGACAAGGATACCTCTAACTTCTTTTAGATTACTCCTTGGATTATAGGGGAAACAAGGGAAATGAAGTTCGTGCCTTGTGATAGGATTCACAAGCCTGAAATCTTTGGTTTTCCACCCGAACAAGATCAGGTAACCACAAGTTATTCCAACACAGATCCTGCCACCAGAACGAGGAAGGATGGTTTTGAATTTTCTTCCTTCAAAGTCCTCTAGGTAACACTCTTTCTTATAAGGACGATCAGAGATCCACAATAACATAGGTGGTCTGGATGCCATAAAAATCTTCCAGTTATCAAGCGCAAGTGACCTCCACGATTTGCATACCCCACTAAATACTACAAAATCAATGACACCCAATTGCATCATAACTAAGAAAAGCAAATGATGGTCAAGATCTGACCAAGGTGCCCCGTCACTCTTGTCACAACTCGCGATCCTCTTCCTGGTAGATGATGATGCAACATGATCATGATTCTGGATTCTGGTCGTACTCCGTGTCTTAGCCATTCCTACACTGCAAAAGAAAAATAAATATCCGAGCGCTTGGTAAATGCAAATTCCACATAAGATACAAGAGTTGTAAGCATACACGTATATATACAGACATACGCTACCTGTGCTGAATAAATGAATATTCACAAAATGTTGCAAGAAAAGGAGAAAATTGAATATTAGTCATAGATACATTTAGATTTCAGAAGCCCAATAAGTGGACTAGTATAACTAACCGAGATCCCAATGAAAACAAAACATATGCAAACTAGCTGAAGTTGTTTTGCAGTACCATAACAAATGCATGATATACTAAAAAAGGATAAGAACATGTACTCATCATCTCATTGCCAAATAGGTATCTCACCAACATCTTTCCCCAAATCATAAAGCTTTTGACTACGAAATATACATCTGGTTGATGCCATCGATGAGTATATTGTTGGGCAGTTGAAGGAATGTGAAGGAAAGAAACTTGTTTCAGCCACCAAAGAAGGGTTAAAGCTTGAAGTGACCAAAAAGAACATCAGAAACAGGAGTTTGAGGGATTTTTTGTATCCATTCTCAGGTCACTAATGTTACACTTGCATTGTTTACCTTTCCTTTTTGCCACTTCACTTGAAAAGGAATACAAGAGTGACATTTTTTTGTTCACCTTGAGGACAAGGTGAAAGTTTGGGCCGCCGGGATTGATAAGCCCCAAACCTATTTGGTCTATAGCCAGCAAGCAAGTAAGTCCAAGACTTGATTATTTATAGGTTCTGCAGGCCCAATTCTTGGTGGGCTATTCTGGAACCGAAGAAAGTATATTTATGTTTATTAGTAATTAGAGGATATTTCTTTTTCTTATTTTGTAGTAATCATAGCACTAACTTAATCATGGGGACAGTACCTTCGTCGGGTGAGCTGGCAGTTTTGGTTTCAGGTAGGGGGTATATTAGTCTAGCCAGGAGTATTAGGAAGTAGGAAAAAATATTTTGAAAAGTTCTATGTGAACCTGTAGAGTAGGCAATCCCTTTGTTTATCACTGGAATGTGTCGTGTACTATGGATTTAAGATATTACTGAAAGAACGGGTGATCTCAAACTCCTGACAAACAGCCTTGTATTGTGACAACAAGGTGGTAATTTCAGTTACTTCCAATCAAGTTCTTCATGACAGAACAAAGCATGTCAAAGCAGATAAACTTTTCATCAATGAAAAGAAAAGACTGGGTTGTGATAAATAATTAAATATAGACGTCTACATTCCTAATGCAGATGACCATATCAATACACACACTAAAGGACAACCAAAGAAGCACTTTTACAAATTGATTCTCAAACCAGAAACAGAAGACATCAACAAACCACTTGAAGAACAGAGTTTTCAGAATGTAGAGATACGATTTAATTTAGTTTCCGAAAATAGTTCCCAAAACTCTATTGTAAATTAGGAATTGATAGTGAACTAGTTTGAAAATTTGTCTAAACTAATAAAACGTTAGAAGTTTCCTAAATCCATGTATGTTTCTTCCCTGTAAGATCTTAAATCATCAGGAAAACACAATGTACAGATACAAAATATACATCATTTACTCCATCACTGGCTATGCAATGATGTTCCCATTATTTCAGTTTTCATTATATCTGGAACACATAAGAGCAACCAGTATCATAGATTTACAGACCCTCTACTGCATTCGCAAGAGGATGATGTAGAGCTTGAATTTCCAGAACACATAAAAGCAACAAAGTTAAATGAATTTACTTCAACTAGGACTTGATACCTAAAAGGTAAGAACCCAAAAGATAAATGCCCTTTTTGAAGGTTGTTAGCAGCAAGTTTTTGCCCATACGGAAACTCGATTTTCACGTGAGAATCCAATTATTAGATAAGAAACGTTAAATCATTGTATAGAGATCCAAAAGCTGATTTTGCAAACATTATTGCAGCTTTATTAACTGTATAGTGCAAAGTCCAATGCTAATTAACCAAAAAGAACTGATTAGAACACATTGAATCAATCTAGGGCAAACTCAATTCAGGTGAGATCAGCTCAAAGACAAATTAACGAAAAACAATCAGATCGGAAAATGATCGGATTTCTACACTAAAATCCTTAAGAAATTGTGTCAAATATTTTAACAATTTGTATAAAATATTTTAACAATTAAGTCAGAGAAAAGGTTGTAATTATGAAAACTATGGTGAAGAGCGAAACACAGAAGATAACTTGACAAGAGGAAACACTCAAATATAGAAGCCAAGGAGAAAAATATACCTGCAATGGTAAAGACACGGCGTTGAAGGTCGAGTTCTAGGGGTTGTACTTGAGACAATTGTGATGCCAGGAGACAGCATAAATACTAGAATGAGATGGGAATTGAGGGCTTACATTAGGGTCCGATTTCGAGGAGAAATTACAATCATACCCCTTAACAAGGTGTGGTGAATGCACGTGACTTCACATGTGATCATCGTGCTTCCACCGGTGAATTAATGCTGTATCCGAGCATATAATTCCTGGTATGCATTTGTATGATCAGAAACTTCATATATAGTATAGATGACTTACTCTATATGTCATTCAACTCACGAGAATAATGGCAAAATGATTATGGAACTCAAGTATATGATTTGCAATAAATTGTAAGACTTCCATATGAAATATATCCATGCCATGATTGCAACTGGAAAATCAGGAATGAAATAATCAGTCAACTACACATGATGACACAATAAAGAAAGTACCTGTTAAATAATGGGATTCACTGCAGGAAACAAATAGCATAAGCTCTGCATTGAAGTAAACAGATCATAGAATGCCCACCTCCTACAAGTAAACCAAAGGAAATGTTCATAACAAGATACCTAAACACACACTGAATCACAAAAAGACCAGACAAATAAGAAATGGCGGAAATTAGAACACAAAAATTGTATCATAGTTTTTTAGGGGAGGCAAGCTAAAAAGAGCACCCCAGATTTGGAAATTATGTTAACTTTAGAAATAGAAAGTACAATAAAATCCCAATCTTAATAATATAAGTAACAGAAAAATCAAAGGAATCATGGAGATCTAATAAGTTGCTTAACTTTTGATGATGGTTCACCAGGGTCATGAGTCAACTGGTGGCTCGATTCAAGTAGGTTTGAGTTTGCCCAAAACATTGCCAGGTCAAACCATCTAACAAGCATCAGGATGTTTATGCAAAACCTATAAGACTGATTAACAAGAGACATTTTCCTTAGTGACAAATATAGACTCCAAAGTCTTACTTATTATATGTGTATTATGATTGGAGACATGTTGAAAATCTTGTTTAGATGGAAATTTGAAGAAAGAGGTATTTATATCCATCACATAATATAACAAGATACAAACCAATAAATAATTGTAAGGCTGAAAGAACTATGTTTGAATTCTTACAGAAGATGGTCAAACTTATCTGCTACAATCAAAGTCAAACAAATCCCACCATGTTTTAAAAAAATTCCAGTAACTTAATAAAAAAAATCCATTTTTCTTGTTTATCTTTACGGTATTATTCTAACATATAACGATTAGATAAAATGTTTGAGATAGTTTGTAGATGCAAAAAGCAAGGGCGGGAAAACAGAAACGTAATTTAAACTTTTAAGATTATTAAATGACTAATGTATTAATTAGATCTGAGTAGCCACACAAAACAAGTTGATCCTTCTTGATCAACTTAATTTTAAGAAAGGGTAGAAGCAGTGTTGTTTAGCAGTATAAACAAAATTAAATTACAATACACAATGTACTTCTAACCATGTAGATGCAATCCTCAAGATGGAAAAACCATGATACCAACAGCAATGGTAGCAACATAATGCAAAGACTGATGCATAAAGAAGTCAACTCACATCTCGCCACATCATGAAAGATATCTATCACACCTTTCCCTATGTTGCCACGTGTCAACTCCTCGGTCATATGTGAAATTAACATTCAAACACCCATTGAGAAAGTACCACATGTTCACAGTAAAAAACCTGCCATTTCCAGTATTATGGGTATCAGCATATCTCCGGAAATCAGAGCAAGAATACATATATATTCATCATTTCATCTCATGTCCTCTTATTCAACACCCATTTCAATTATTTCATGAACCTTGTAATCTTTTGAAACATATTGCATCACATAAAGGGTTTTCCCCCACACTTACAAAATCCCAGTATAAGTTCGCCTTTGGATGATTCTTGGTTTCAAGTATCATCAATCACATAAATGTCTCACTTTCCATATAAGATAACTGGTGTTTAGAACCTTCTTCCTTCAAAATTCTCTAGGTACAGTAGTCTTTCTCATCAGTATCAGTACAGAATAGAGATGTTGGTTTCTGCTAGTCATACTCATTGTCTTAGCCATTCCTACGCTTTCAGAAAAAAAAAAATAAGCATCTGAGACATTGGTAAATGCACATAAGATATAAGCCTTAAGCATAAATTGATATGTACATACAGACGCTACCTTTCTCAAATAATGAAACTTTACAAAATATTGTATGGAGAAGAGAAAACAAATGCAAGATTAAAAAGGGTCTAGAGGTGAAAACAAACACAAAATGTTTGGAGGATATACAATCTAATTGTGCCTGGTAATATTAAGGAAGACCTAGATGATACAGACACTTTTAGAAGAGATGAATGCACTTAAAAACAATGCTATTGAAAGAGAATTTAACTGATAGAAACCTAGTAGTGAGGAATTTGAGCCGTTGAGTGTGGTTTACCTATCCGACAGAAGTAATCTCGCTATTGGAGGATTTCGTTTCCATGAGTCCACTGACTGATGATGATTCGTATCCCTCTTCGGCACTCCTGTATATCGGGCGATAATCTAATATGCCAATTGTAATTGCAATGGAAATCCTGAGAAAAGTATTTAAATTTTATCGGTATAAAACTAAATAGGATAGGAAGTTCTGGACTTGACACGACCAGTAACCCAACACAAAAATAAAATAAACAGATTCGGTATAAAACTATAGGTTGGTTCGGTTATATGTTTGTGTTCATATGTCAACCTATCAACCCAATTATATGTATTATATATATATATATATATATATATATATATATATATATATATATATATATATATATATATATATATATATATAAAATATAGTAATATACCACAAACCCTAAGTCCTAACACTCGTAGCCCCATATATAAATGTATTGCTTATTAAGTTATTACTTGTTATGTTAGATTGGTATTTGGTGTTCATTTTGATTCTAGTCAATGTAAAATGCTAAATATTAATTATTTTAGTAATGTATATAATCCGTATAAATTTAACATGTGAAAAATTATCCGAAAATAACCCGAACCCATATGGTTAATCGGGTATGTAGGTTGGGTTGGGTTGATGATTCCACGTGCAAACACATATATTATATGGATCGGGTTTTGTCAATATATTTTGAATCGCCAACCTGTGATTCGTCAACCCGAACCTTATCTAATTGTCAGGCTTATATAAAACAATAAAAAGCATAATGAATCTTTGTATATTTGGGATTTTAGCATATAAAGTTTCCCATTTTTTTTAAAAAACAAAAACCTTAATTACTGGTTTTTTGAAAATAATTAAAATGACATTTGAATAATTATTTCAAAAATAAAATGATTTTTCAGTATTATATATAGCTTAATATTCATATGCATATACATTTATCCCAAAGTCTAATCTTATCTTTATTGTATGTGTTTGTTTTTTTATTTTTTTATTTTTTTGACAAAACTACAAAAATAGTCCCCATGATATGCGTTTTTCAAGAAAAATGTACAAAGCTAGAAAAAGTTAGATGGAATGTCCTTTTCAATACCCCTACCCCCGCCACACACACACACAAAACATGAATAAACAATCATCCTCATTTTATACATATTGCACCTCCCCACCCTAACCTTTTTCTCTGGAAGAAACTGATGTGTTTTCTAGGTTACAACAAAGAGATTTACATAAACGATTTTACTCATAAACTCTTATGGGTACATGCAATCTATAACTATATGGTATTTTTAATATTATAGCAGCATACTTTATGAAAAAAACATTCTAACCTACCGATAATCGAAATCCGCAAGGTTTAAAACATACTTTTTAGTATCTTTAAATATAGTAACTCCTGAGTCTTCAAATGCTCCTTGGAAATCAAACATCCAATAGTATGAATGTCTCTAATGGTTCACACTCAAAACCCTAGAACACTTGAAATTGACATGGAGAGAGGATACAAGATGAAAATTGAATTTTATCTTTCTCGAAGGCATAAGAAAGAAAATTGGATGCCACTGGGTCCTATTTATAGTTTGTGAACATCTAAGATAAGCCTTTATTTGAATAATAAAATAATCAAATTTTATCATATTGAAATCCTTACCATATCAGCAAGCAACCAGGAGGCTTCTGGAACCCTTCCATGACACTCCAAAACTGTCCATGCCTTGGACTATTCTAAAATTGCTTCTTTTGTTCAACTATTGAATAATTACAATTCTACCCATGTACCTTTAATTAATTCAAATTAATTTTAGATTAATTATGATTAATAATCAATTAATTCCAACTATTTCTAATTAATTTATTATTCACTTAATAAATTAACAAATCATTTTATTTATTTCGTAAAGTCATTTCTAGCTTTTGAAGGCAACCCAAAAAGGACTTCACCATTATTCCTAAAGTTATATCAATTTAGTCATGATCTTGATCAATTTAATTATGACCTTGGACACTTATTCCAACAGTCTCCCATTTGGACAACACACCAACTACAATTGCAAATATAGACTTTGAATAACTAGTAAAGAGTGCTTTCCCCAGCCACTACCGAACTTTGATAAAATCAAACATTAGCCCTTAGATAAGTAATCAATTATTCCTTCATTCTACAAGATAACTTATGGACACGAGACATGGATAAAAATCAATCTCATAGTCTAAGATTTTCTTTCCTGACTTCCAATTTATGATGACTAAATTCAGACTACTAATTGAACACATCAATATAGTTTAGGCTAGGCCTAACACATGAATGTCAACATCAAATCATCGAGGGGCCCAATGATATCGCTTTCCATGTTAAGGCAAAAGGAATGAATAAACTTTGACTATATAATCATACCTTTTACTCACCACACCATACATGGAATTACATTTTATAACATTAAGTTACAAATGCATTAATGTAAAATCAATGCACAACAGACTTACAAACTATGACTTATATATCTCTGTTTTAAAGAATATAAGATATTATCGTCTTAGAATTACTTGTGATTGAATCCATAAAGTAATCTCTAAACTCAAGTTTCTCCAATACTCAAACTTCCCATTTTCCAAGTACTCATGAATATTGCAACAATCTCTATGGTATGTCCAATCACTGTGTACTGAAGGTTTATATCGATCGGATACACTCAAGTATGAGTAACAATGAATAAACAAACTAAGCAAAGATTAAACAAAAAAAACAAAAAAAAATAAGTAATCACAAAGATTATTTCACTAATAAAGAATGTTCTCACCACGAGAACGATGTCACAATGACGGTCACAAATACTTACATAAAGGTGTCACCCTAATATTGATTATATATGATTATAAGAGCTGAAATCCCACTAATTAAGGGATGTATACCTATTTAAGTAAATGTCTGATCCTAATCACTAAGATTACTAATGACACGTATATTATGTATATATACGTATAAATGCCTAATATACATAAGATCACAAAGATCATTGCTTCACGTTGACGCTGATAAGATCTGATGTTGGTGCTGGCATTGGCGCTGATGGTCAGTGTGTAGTGTTTGACTCATCAGACCATAAGGTGTGACCTTACAATCTCCCCCTATCTGATGATGTCAAAAATTGTAACATCCATAAGATTCGTGAAAATTTAAAACTTTTTCAAGCATCAAAAAACCATTATTTATTACAAAATGTTTTCAAAATAGTTTCATATCAGAGTATCCTAGAAATCAAAATCATAAAATGCGAGAGGTGCGCGATCCAGCCTTCACCTTCCCGCGATCATCTGAAGTACCTGAAACATAATCCAAAACTGCAAGCCCGAAGCTTAGTGAGTTCCCCCAAAATACCAATCTCATACAAACCATAACCATATCATAACAAACAGTATGCATATAGAGTCTACAGTGTGATTGGACTGCCCTCACCAGGCCTTCAGTCTACTTTGCGCACTCTCAGAACCTTCAGCATATCTGGTCCTCCCTACCGGGCCTTCAACCTATCTGGATCGTTATCTGAGCCTTCGTCCTAACCGGTACACCCCATCGGGCCTTCAGTCTATCCGGGCGGCCATGGGTATTTTCGCCTACAACACGAAGTAGGACCCCCTCAACCCACCCCCAAGCATATAATTAACACATAGATAACAAATGCTAGCATGTACAAACAGTCAGATCAATCTAAAAAATACTAATCATAGCATCATCCTATATACCAGGATACCGACCTAACAGGTCACTAAACATAGCATCATCCTATATACCAGGATACCGACCTAACAAGTCACTAAACATAGCATCATCCTATATACCAAGATATAGATCTAACAGATCACTGAGCATATCATCATGCGATAACCAGGATATCAATCCAAAAGGGTCGGCATTAGTATAACGAGGAAAACTCACCTCACAAGTAGTGTTGAATCAAGAAGATCAAACCCTAACTCCCAGCTCCAAACTCAACTGTCTGTAACCACCATATGATTGATTCCATTAGAATCCCAAATTACCAAAATATCCTCAAAAGTCAAACCTGGTCAACCCTTGGTCAAAGTAAAAGTCAACAGTCAAGGTCAACAGTCCATGTTGACCAAACTCTTTGAGTTCATCTACTGACTTATCGAGTTCCTTCAGAACTTAGAAACTAAAAACTCGATTCAACTCGCTGAGTTACCTGAGTAACTCATCGAGTTCTTCAGTGTCTAGAAGACCAGGAAAAC